GGTTTAGGGTTTAGGCATTACCCATACTTGGAGGTTCCTGGGTAGTTATAAGTGGGGGTTATAAGTAGGTATAGCTTATAACCCATATTAGGGGACTTATAACCCCACTTATAACTACCCATGAACCTCCAAGTAGGGTTTAGGGTTCAAGGGTTTAGGGTTTAGGGCTCCGAGGTTTAGGGTCTGTAGGGCTCCTTTTAAAAAGGAAGGGGATTTGGGGTTCAGGGGCTTAGGGCCTCTAGGGCTCCTTTGAAAGGAAGGGGATTAGGGCTTAGGAGTTTAGGGGTTAGGGTTTAGGGTTTAGGGTTTAGGGTTTAGGGGTTTAGGGTTTAGGATTTAGGGTTTAGGGTTTAGGGTTTAGGGTTTTAGGGTTTTAGGGGTTTAGGGGTTCTAGAGGGGCTCTTTGTGGGATCTATTCGTGGTCCGGGCTTCAAGACTACACTTTATGGGTTTAGGGGCTTGCGGGTCCAGGCTCTAGGTGCCTGCACTTTTATGTATGGCCGGTTTGGGGTTTAGGGTTTAGGATTTGAGGTTTAGGGTTTAGGGTTTGGGTTTAGGGTTTGGGGTTTAGGGCTCTACCCCAAGGCTCTTATTGCTGTTATGGGCTTTCTAGGGGAAGGTTTGGGCTTTGGGGGGCTAAGGTTTGGGGTCCATGAGCCTTAGGGTAGTGAGCAGATGGGGCTTTTATAACGATCTCAACGGGTCTGATAGGTTCTGCGCCTTCTCAGCGCTTTAGAAGGGCGAAAACATGATAAACTTCCGCATGGGCTCAAACACCCAAACATTGGGTCCTTTCCTGTCCCTAAACCCTAAACCCTACAACCTAAACTGAACCCTAAACCCTAAACCATAAACTCAACCCTAAACCCTAAACTGAACCCTACACACTAAACCTGTAGTGTTTAGGAGTCGCCGGCTAGTGGGCGACCACTACCGCTTGGGCCTTGAGGGCTAGCCGTGTCTCCTCGAGGCGAAGTTCCAAGGCCTTGGTCTCAACCTCTTTAACCTTAGGGTGTGGGTTGAGGGTTTAGGGTTTAGGTTTTAGGGTTTCGGGTTTAGGGCTTTTGGGCTTTAGGCTTAGGGGTTTAGGGCTCTTGGGTTTTAGAGTTAAGGGTTTAGGAGTTTAGGGTTCAAGCTGTCGCCACACAATGCCGGCTGCCACCGCCTTGGTACTGCACTGGCTTTTCTCCAGGCCAGCGTCCGGCGGCTGTACTGTAGGGGCCTTGATAGTTAGAATAGGGTTTTGGGGGTCCCTTATAGTATAGTTATAATAAGGAACCCCCAAAATAATATAGGTAATTATTTAGGCCCCTTTTTAAACATGACCGCCAGCTCCTCGGGCCCATTTCAGCCCAGTCGCTTTGCATTTCTTCAAGACTCTGCAACACCCCCGATGCAGATGCCCAGCGGTCTTCTCTAGGGTTTAGGGTTTAGGGTTTAGGGTTTAGGGTTTAGGGTCGTCCTTGCATCTGTACGCCAATGCCGCCGTGTGCTTCAGCACGTTCTTAGCTGAATCGCTGATACGCGTCGAGGGCTCACGCGACTCTGGGGTCACCATATACTGACGGCTTGTAGGGTTTTTAAGGGTTCATTCTGTAGCGTATATCAGGTTGATCAGGGTCTACCTCAACACCAAGTAAACTTGTTTTGGACCATGACTTCCTTACCTAACTCCTTAAAACAATACGCTTTGTTAGGATGCAGGTAGGACTTGTTCAGTCTTTGAGATTCGGCTGGTGGGATCTGCTAGGAAGTCTACGTTTGGGGAGGTGATCCTCGGATTCTGCTACATAAACTTTGATCGTTTGTACTTTTTAGTATTGTGCAGGACCGATGCCACTTCGGTATTAGGTTTTAGGTGTTGTTTTAATGGTTTTTGGAGGCGTGCGCCCGTCGCAGAAGCAACAGTCTAGACGCATAATGCTGCCAGCCAGCACCTAGATGCCAGAAATCGTACTGCCGACAAACTACAAAGGCCCACCCCCCATGAAAAAACCTGAATCCCTGAAAGCCGCCAGTTTCTATCCTCAACCAGGAATCACCACTAACTACCTCGAACAACCTCGACCAATCACAAGGATTCAACGTGACTGATGTGGTTCCGTTTGTTATGCGACCCTTAAACTAAGCTCCCGAAACTGGCCTGGTGTGCCATGCGCTCGGACAAGAAGATGGCCAGTGTGTCGGCCTCAACCGAATAGGAGGGCTTTCGTTTTGCTGCAGTACCGCTTCTGTTTGAGGGAGACTGGGGGCTGGTTAGTTAAGGGAACTACGGGTGGGGAGTTTAGGGTATATAGGGCTTCTATAAGGCTTCCATAAGCTCTATAGACCTTCTATAAGGCCCCAATAACGGTAACTACCCACCTGAAAAAATTTCCTATAGTTAGGGTTTAGCGAAGCTTTGGGTTTCTGGGCTTCGTCTGGGCTCTCTCTCTCTTTAGCGTTTATAGGGTTTAGGGTTTAGGGTTTATACTATGGCGTGCTGTAAGCGCCATTGCCGCAGATGCTTCCCAAACTGGGTCTGATAGAAGCGCGCGATTCCTTAAGGACGAAAGGGGCCCTTAAAAGTAGCCCTGGTCATCCAAAGGGTCGGTGG